TAAATGTCCTGGATGGGCCGCATGTGGCCCGTGGGCCATAGTTTAAGGACACCTGTCCCATACTGTCACAGGCCACAGTGGGAAAAATTGAAGTGTGTGAATTTCACAGGACTTTGTAGATTAGTTATCAATGATATATTCAAAATACACAGGTGGTGGCTAGGACTTTTTAGACAATGTGACTCATAAATAAACCACAGCAGGTCCTTCCTATAGTAACTAAAGCCAGCGCTTGGCAGCAGTGTGCTATACCTGGGAGTCTTGGGCAGCTCCCAGCAGCATAGCCAAATGAGTGAGTAACCGGATGAGAGTGAAGACCACTGGAGACAGATCTCGGTCGGCCGCCTCCACCCCCACTCTGTGCCGGGCATCACCCAGCACATGGCCAGTCTGAGTAGTGTCTATGTTGTTTCTGGAAAGAACAAGAACAAACAGGTGAAGCCTGGGGTAGGTTGTTTCTTCTCAACTCTCAGGGCAAACTTCACATTCTTGGGACTTGGAGACACGGTTTTAAAGAAAACAATGTTAAAAGTATTTCTTTTCTGCTAAGCCCAGACTGCCTTCCGAGGAGTCTTTTCATTACACATTCACCTTCCTGGCTGACCAGACCCTATCGTGTTCTGTGTACAGTGGCTGCACCTGTGGCTGTGGGTGTTGATCCCTGGGCAGGGAGTTAGGACAGAAGCCTGGGTCTGTCTCTTCCACTGACAACCCTGTGGGCAAGGAGCAAGCGCCGAGGACAGCTGTGTTTGGGATGTTTGGGACAGCAGCCATCAACATGGGACGGGCCACATGTTTCCCAAATAGAACGCTGGGATCCAAGGTCTGGCAAGGGTTTTGTGTCACATCATGACAGGAGATACAGTACAGCAGGTACATTCAGGTGCAGAAACATTGGAGATCTGAGGGCATTCTAATAGTTTTTGGAGATAAGAAGAAAGAATATTTCAGACTGTGACTATACCAGAACAGTCAACGTATCTGATGATCACAGGCTGTTCTCACTAACTTTCTGAAAGTCTTTATAACCACGCTTCTATCAGCGTGGAACTGTGAGGTCAGATTTTTACCTGGATTCTAAAATCTGGTATTTGATAAGATTGACTATGTCTCCTTCATGTTTCTCAAAGAAAAAAAAAAGGAGACAGCTAAAATAGTCTACAAGGGGGATGGCACTGGCTGAGACAGACCAAGGCCTGGCGTTTGGCCTTGTGGAGTTAGATGTCCCCTAAATTGGGGCACCTGTTTACCTTGAGCATTTTCCTATATGGGATGCACCTAAGGCCTACATGGAAGATGTCAACATTAATGAGTATTAATTTTTTTTTTTGAGACAGAGTCTCACTTTGTCACCCTTTGTAGAGTGCTGTGGCGCCATAGCTCACAGCAACCTCTAACTCTTGGGCTTAAGTGATTCTCTTGCCTTAGCCTTCCAAGTAGCTGGGACTATAGGTGCCCGCCACAACTCCTGGCTATTTTTAGAGTGGTCTCACTGTTGCTCAGGCTTTCCTGAATTTTGGGGCTCATGTGATCCACCTGCTTTGGCCTCCCAGAGTGCGAGGATTACAGGTGTGAGTCACCATGCCCAGCCTAATATGTATCAATATTAACAAGTGTTAATGGTAGTCTGCCCAGTGAGCCAAGGGCAGAGGAAATACCACCACTATATCACTACTGGGACTTGACCTTGGTATCCAGCACAACACAGTCCAAAGGTGCTATAGTAATTAACACTCTATGTAGTGTCACTTCAGCAGCTATAGTCAAAACATCCCCCAAACCCCTGCTTAGAAAGGAGATGCAACCTTACGTACTTGATAAGATTAAAGCCACTGTCAGGTCTGTGATTAATACCCCCGATTGGAGCACCACAGTCAACACAGACGCTCTGTTCCATTGGCTTGCCGCACTGGGATAAAGACAGATATAAGTGAAGTCAGTTTTGGAGCTGTTATCATTTTATGCAAAAAGCTATCGTGCACATGGATACATCCTTAACTACAGGATGAGGCCAGCACCCCAGGACTGCTGTCCCACTGTGTGCTCGCTCTGGGGAGGAGGGCCACTGGGGGTGGGGGGGATGCTTGAAGCAAATTATATTGCACACAGGCAAATTTGGACTTTTTTTTTTTTTTTGAGACAGAGCCTCAAGCTGTCCCCCTGGGTGGAGGGCCGTGCCATTACAGCTCACAGCAACCTCCAACTCCTGGGCTCAAGCGAGTCTCCTGCCTCCGCCTCCCAAGTAGCTGGGACCACAGGCGCCCACCACAACACCCGGCTATTTTTTGGTTGCAGCCGTCATTGTTGTTTGGCGGGTCCAGGCTGGGGATTCGAACCCGCCACCTTAGGTGTACGTGGCTGGCGCCTTAGCCGGTTGAGCTATAGGCGCCGAGCCCAAATTTGGACTTTTTAAGAAAATGTAGGTGAGACAACTCAAGTTAATTCCCCAAAGGAGCGGCATTTTATAGACAACTATACACAGTTCGATCTCCTTTCTCTCCCACTCATCGCTGTTTTCCATCCCTGCACCTACCACACTACTTGCCCCTAGTGCTCCAATCTAACGCCAGGAAGGCTGTAATAGCTTTCAGCCTGATCTCCACACGTCCATCTGGACTTCTTTATTGTCAAAAAGGCAACTGTATGATTACTACTTCCAAAGGCTCATGAAAGAACAACCAGACAGTATGCTCCTGTCTGTGAGAGCCATGGCTGCCCCTGCAAACCAGCCGCAACAAACTCAGAGCGGGGAGCAGTCACAGAGAGTCTGTCTGATTCTCATTTTGTGGACAAGGAGGTGAACGAGGCACGGAAGGATGGGGTGTAGGTGCCAGTTTCGCTCCCCACCATGTCTCATGGTAAGTACAGGACATGCCAGCTCGGCCAACCAGCCTCTTGCTCAGCAAATACAGGCACCATATGAGATGCTGGGGGACACACAGGGGCGTAAACAGGTCTTTGCCGATGGTTGGCAATCCCCGAGACTTTTTCTCAGCCTTGGGATCCAGACTGTGCCCCCTCCCTGGGCTGTGATCCAGCCTGGGCTCCAAACTCCTTGCCATTCTGCAGAGACAGGTGTCACTGGTCCTGTGTGGCAGGGGCTGGCAGTGGTTCCACCAGTAGCAGTTTTGTCTCCCAGGGACCCTTTGGCAATATCTGCCGATAGTTTTGGTTGTCACACTGGGGGAGAGGAAGTGGTCCCAGCACCCACTGAGCTGAGCTCAGGGAAGCTGCTGCATATCCTACCAGGCCTGAGACAGGCCCCAAGCAGAGGGGTCCACAGTGCTGCAGCTGGGAAGCCCTGAGCTGGGTCAGCACTCGTGTCCGTGGATTGGGAACAGCCACCTCTGTACTGACCCTCAGACCCAGAGGAGTTCGTGTTTTGACCTCCTGCTCCCGCCCCCCCAGCCCTCTGTGACATAGCAAGACTCACCTCTCCGACAGAGCAAGGATGGCCGTTGGGACAAGCTATTAAAAGAAGAGGACGCACATCAGGGAATGAAGCTCCACACGTGGCCTATACTGCACAGGGGAGCTAGCTTCCTTCCCTCTGCCCTGATGACAAAGTCATGGTGTTCAGGGGATGACCATACTGCCCTACCTGAAGCCCTGACCTGCTTTGCTAGTTACCTGACCTGCGCCCAGAGCCCAGTAAATATTGTTAGTGAAAAGTGTCTGAGTTTAATTTTCCGAGGCAGAGAGAAGTTAGATTACAGGCTCACACCAGGGTTAACTTTTTACCTTCCTGTTCTCACCGAATTCTTTTTTTGTGCCATCAGAATATAATAACTTTAAAACCTAGTTTAAAAAGATTATTTACCCAAGTCCACAGCAAAGCTTACATATAGTCACAGGTTATGGTATTTTGTCTTCCATTTCTATTCAGAAGAGCTGTTTCTGGGTCGGAAACATTGCTGTATTGTCACTGGCTTTTGAGTGAGCCCTGATGCGGTTCCTAGTCCCACCTTCTCCAAAAGTGGCACATTCCGGAAAGTGGCTATGCTTCCCAAAGCCGCCATTCTGTCTGACTAAAGAATAAAATGGCCTGGACTCTCTGGCCAGCAGAGCCGTTCATACTCTGCAGTGTGCCCATGGGCGGAAGAGGCTGCAGTTTTGGACCGTCAGACATAAGCCGTGTGTCCCCCAACTCTAGCCCAGTGCCTGCTAGGGCAGTGGGATGGGCTTCACCACTCAGAGAAGTATGACTACACCCCAGACACCAACACTTACTGTACCAGTGGACTCCTTCTAGACCCTTCCAGTTTTTAGCTTGAGCCAGCAAGTCTTCAGGCATTGTTGGGAGAAAA